CTTTTGAACATGCCAGTTGCACGGTGTTTAGGGTCCAGTATTGTTTAAATCCTTTTTTACGCTGGTACACAGAAAAATTGTTCATGTAGATTTTTTTAAATAAGATTAGTAGGTAAATTGATTGTTTTAGAAGCCTTCAAATCAAGACAGATCACATGATTCATCACATTAAAGGTAATAACTATCTATAATATATTTTATAAGGTATAATTTGCCATCTTTCATTTATTACATTGTGGTTCACTGACAATAAAATAGTCCCCTGGACTAACTTAGCCTTTACTGGTCAGCTTTTACTAGCGGTCAAGCTGCTGGCTTTCCAGGAGTCGCAGCGGGGTCGAGGCGTGGGAATAGTTCCGTATTTAAACCGACCGCAAACGGGAACCGCAGGGACACTGCTGGTCTCTGTGCGTTTACATGAAATTCAAATTATTATGTGGTAGCCGTCTGTTAGAGCAGTCAACTAAGCATGGACAACTAAGCTGGCATTTACTAATTATAAGTACCTACCTAAATATGATCTCAATTTTTACTATTTACTATGTTGGTTATAAAGATTATGTTATGTTTATCTTGGTACAAAAATACTTCAACATTCGCACACTAGGTTTAAAACCCATTGGCTCCAAATATCGCTACTTTTTTCGCAATCGCCCACCTCTTACAAAGAGATTAGTGGAAATCAGATGATGAAAATGCCTTCAATCGACCCCTCAAAGAGGCTACTGAACCAGGCCAATGTTCGCGGACCACACTTGCCCGAACTGTTCATTTCCATCAACACTCGGCCAATCAACTGGCAAATTGTCAGCGTTTATTTTCATTCCTCTCAAATGAACGTGCGATTGGATCTGTTTTTGAGAACAACTGCACGTTGAACGAGAGGAAATTGGAATCATAAAAATGAACTAGATCCTGTTCTTTATTGAGAATAAAAATTCACCTGTATTCAGATAAGTTTATTTCATTTTTGAACGCGGACGGTTTACATTTTTCTTCTCTGTCGACCGTTTCATTCTTTTCCAATGGCAATTAATTAGATTGATTTTATTACTTTTGTACTCAATAGATGTTAATAAATGTTTTATATTAACGAATTCCCATATATTAATAGTATCCTTTCAATGTTATGAAGATATAAGTATGTTATTTTCTTTAACAATACGAGTATAGTAGGTGCCGTCATTAAAAGTTTAAGGCAGACTTTTCCTAAACTTTTCCATATGACTTTGAAATTGTTATTTTCTGACTTGTGATATTTAACTTTGCAACAACCTTAGTACAGTATCAATTACAAAACTAATTAATAAGTGTAATTGAGTGAAAATACCCATATTATTGTAAATTAACAAATACTTAACTTTGAAACTTGTTAAAATTTTAAGATTTAAAACTTTCGCGTTCCATTTCAACTATATGGGTAACTATGTAGCTTTTGCCCGCGGCTTCACCCGCGTGGAATTTAGTTTGTCACAGATCGTCATACCTATAGCCTATATGTTATTCTAGGTTATCAAGAATAATACTGTAAAGTTTCATCAAAATCCGATCAGTAGTTTTTGCGTGAAAGAGTAACAAACATGTTGACATGCAGACATCCATACAAACTTTCACATTTATAATATTAGTAGGATATAAGATAAGATATTATGTGATATCTTTTTGGTGCGGCCCATCTGGGATTCGAATACCTACATATACTCTAGTTCGAGACGGTTTATATCTCAGCTACTGAACTACACAGCCATCTATCCATTATTAATCCACTATAATCGGACTATGAAATTAATTTCCAACTCCACCCGCTACGCGAGAAAAGGTTCATAAAAAATTTAATGGCGTTTAAAATTGCAAGAACGGCAGAACGTACGAGTACGAGCGGGCTTAAACAGCAACAAATTAAGTTGAAACCTATGCTAACAGTGACAAAGTCTTAAATTGAATGCCTCATTAAACTCAACATTCCTGCTCTATTAGTTGGACCACTCCAGCTAACAAAACAGGTCGAAGTTGGTAATATTCCTAACACCCACCCTTTGAAAGTGTGACTCGATCGTCTCATTATAATTAAGGCTAGACCTTTGCCCGCGTCAGTGGCACGTCGTTTAACCTCCAATTGGTATAAAATCGTGGAAATTTACTGGGAAAAACAGGCATAAAATATATTAGTCAATCTCGTTGCGTAAGGTGAGTCAGACCTGAGTATTTATTTGAAACAGAACATCTTTTGCTACGTGTGTGTCAACATTTATAACTAACAAACCTAAACTTGGTTTTTCTAGTTTCTACCAGAGCTAAGCTTAACGTGCACTAACCCACCAAGCGTATTCCCTCCCATTCTGTAAGCGCAGAGGCATGGAATGAAATTCCCGACCGATGTTCCTGAATTCATACAACCCCAAATCCTTCGAGGAGCGAGTGTGTACAAATATGCGGTCTAGCTTTCTGCATTCTTCTGGTGAGATCGCTATCATGTTCACAATTTAGTTTAAACTATGGAATGGTACCCATTTACATAAAATGCCAGTTCATCAATAATTAAAACAAATAAGAAACACTCATTGTTACCTATCAGAGCGCTTCAAGACGAGCAAGTACTGACAAAAAGTGTAACCAACTCATAGAGTGAACTTGTACCGTTTCGTCGAATACAACATTACCTACATTTTTAAAGAACGTTAACGCATCTCAAGTCGTGCCCACTCACCGTGAATGTTACGTCGAACACAGCGCCGAGCGCGAATGCTCGGAACGTTGCGCAATGTTGAAGTATATTTACATAACATTATGGATGTCAATTTGAAAATTATCTCGTCACATTCACATTGAGTGTGTGTTTTGCAGTGTTTACTTTGTGCAAAACCAACCACCTACGTTCATAATGCGTAATACACGAGCTATTTTCAAATATTATAAAGTAGGTAAATGTTGTTCTACAGCCTACAGAGTTCACGGCAGTCTAAGAACCATTCTAGCCTCGACCAAATACATTATAATACCAAAACGACACTTGGTGACCACCATCGATATTCCATTCGGAATTAAATCGAAAAGTTACATAATTGTTGTTGACAGAGTAATTTCAAAATTGAACAAATGTCTATGGGTACTTTTTACGTCGTTGACCAATTAATGTGTTAGTAAATCATAAAATAACACGACAGTAAAAATATAAAAACATAATGTAAAAACATCATCATCTGAGGAAACTCGTGAAAATTTTTAACGTGTTTTAAAAGTACCTACTCTTTATGTTACAGACCACTTATTGCACTGTCCTAAGAATCAACCTTACTTAATGCAAAAAATAAGAAACTTCAATTGTTGGAATTATTTAAGAGTAGGTACCTATTCGCTGCAGACGTTCTTGAAAGAAAAGTTGCAGATGGAATATCTGCTAGTCTGTCTTCTACAACTAGCTTTTGTTCGCTCAATATCGTAATAAGACAAATATTTCTGTTTGGACACGCCATCAGGCTTTGAGCTGAGAATAATGTACATTGAGAAATGATAGTTTCAAAAAAATATGAACTTTATTGAATTAGTTGGAAGCAGAACTGCAGGGGCTAGTGAACCGGCTTTTAAACACTTTTGCAGCTAATTCACTGGGATGTCTCTCATGCGATCATATACAGGGTGTTTCTAATAAGGCATCACAGGTTTAAGTCTATGATTTAGGTAGGTATGCAAATTTTACGTAGTTATTTACGTAAACATAATAACGAAAAATTCCAAGTCAGAAATCAAATATTGCTGACAATATTTAATGAACCAAATAATAAACTTTTGTAATTCGCTTTAAAAGTATAAAAGCTATTAATTGTTCAATGAAAAATTATTTGTTGGATAGAGACTATCCAATTAGTTACTATTATAAAGTTTTCTTTTAGTTTGTTTTACAAATGACAGCGACCTAGTGGAAAGTAGTACCTACTGAAAGTCAACTGATCAAGATCATAATAAGTTTAACGAGCTTTTTAGCCCTAAATTAGTGGAGGAGACTTAAAAAGACAATACTTACTTGAATTAAGTATCTGTTTTATATCGACAAGAAAGTTCAACAATGTACCTTATCTATTATATAAAAATGAATCGCAAAATGTGTTGGTAAGCGCATAACTCAACAACGCCTGGTGGACCTGGATGGTTTTACGGCGAGATTTGCAAAATTCAATCCCTACGGGGGATAAAACGAGGTGCACGCGTATCGGCCATCAATGCACACTTGATATATGTAGGACGCCCCTCTGCTTGATGGACTGACGAGCTCAAATAGCTGGCACTCCAAGCAGAAAGGTGGCATACTTATTGAACAAGTTTTACGCCCGTTTCCCATATTCAATCCTTGTCCAAATCCAGATTTCAAGTGTTAAATTCACTTTTAGATTAAACATCTACAATTTTCGAGGCTTTTACACTTTAATATTGTTTAAATAGTCTAATAAACAATATGAAAATGTAAAAACATCGGAAACCGCAGATATTTTGACCAAAAACATATTGGTTTGGATTAGGATTGAATATAGAAATCCAGCATTAGTCATGCTTTATCATTTATGTATTCTAAACTCTGCGTCGATAAGTATCTTATAACTTGTCGTTTAAGACTGAATATTAACTGTAACATGAGAAACTGTTACTTAGAAGACGGCTGATTATTATTATTAGTCTTCGTTTTAGCGCCGGCGCCTCGAGGTCCTCTGAGGCTTATGAGCTAGGAAACTTATATATAGAGACTCAATGGGCTCCGATCGCTTTGACAGGCTTAGACGGGAATTCGTAGAAGCATACATCATTTCGGAGATTTGTTATTCAAGTCAAATGTAACTACATTTCGTAAGACGCAAACGCTGCAAACTGAATGCAAACACAGCCCGTCAAATTCCTAGTAACGAAAGTTATACAGGGTGTTGATTTCAATACCCGCCATATTTAGGGAGTTGATTAAGTAGCTTATTCTGATCAGGAATCAGCAAAAAAACTGACTTCAAATTTTTTTTAAATTATATTTTAAATATCTACGATTTCCATAATCGACCACTACAGTGCAGAATAGTCCCCCAACGCAAACGGCGCGCGGCGCTCACCCGGTGACCCGGGCAAGCGCTGCGCCCCCCGTCCCGCGCCCCACTACCCGCGCTCGCCCATGAGTCAGTCAACTATCAGCCACAATCAGCTGTGAGTTCAACGACGACTACTGGACGGAGCTTAATCCAAATCTACCCTAAAAATGTAATGAGTAAATTAGTTAATTACACCTTATCACGTTACGAGTTTATTTTTTGTTCTAAAAACTAATTAATTAAGTAGGTCTTTAATAAAAAAACCTTTTACACGAATTTGCTTCCTTCCGCAAAATAAAAATTTTTACAGAAGCTACATTTTTTTTAAAATTAAACCATGCTTTTATGTGTGTGATAAGCTTGTACCTACTTATCATTCAAAAGTACTGTAAACAGATGACAATAATGCTCTTTCATACAGGTTCGTTATTCCTTACATTTCTAGCTCTCTACCTTAATAACTTTTACGTCTTTACGATAGTAATTATTAAAATAAAACTTAACTTACCGCAAACTGAACACCTAGAAATAACACACTGGCAAACTCTTGTTCCTTCACTTTCGATAGGAGATAAGACAAGATTTTGTTTTTAAACTCGATTGATTTCAGTATCTAAACAAAATTTCTATCATTTAGCACTTCTTTCATTTAAATACAATAATATCGGCGCCGCACGGATATCGGGCTCGCACTGACAATACATACTTCGCTCATCTTCGTGTTTCGGGCGTCATCGGCGCTCAATCGTGGATCATCGATTTTCTCCATTCATCAGTCCGATTTTGCTTCCCACGTTGAGAGGCTGCGCGCACGCTCCGCGAAATCTAGCTCGTATTTAGAATTCCTAGTACTCAATCGCTATTTCTTTATTTCTTGCCTTGTAACATCAACTTTTCTCTTCCTCTCTGCTTGATAAATGTTTTCTAGTACATAAACTTCTTACTACCGTGTTCTATCTCTGTAAAAATTTGATTTAAAATAATAACGTAATTTAATTTCTATCGGCGTTTAATTTAAATTCCCTGAACGACTGTTAGGCTGTTAGTTAGGTTCAGGTTAAACTTCCATTCTTCATAACTTACATAAAATAATTCATCATCATGTTCGTGATTATTTTAAATGAACTTAATTTCATTACTTACACGAAATAACTATCAAAATGTATTGATATTCTTATCGTTTTAATAATAACGATTGAGCTACTACAAATCATTTGCATTTGAGTATTTTGGAAGCTTGCTATAAGAGCATTAATTATGATAGGACGGATCTTTAGTTAACAAAGATCTTCGGTCATCGAATGTGCAAATTTGCGATTTTTGATTGTTTTCTCGTGCGGTTTTGAGTAGTTAGTGTGTGAACGTGTGATAGTGAGTGTGGTAATAGTGAGTGAGTGTTAGGAATATGCCTAACCATACGTACAGTGCTCGTGAGTAGATACGTAAACATGGTTTACTGTTACGGGAGGGCACGTGGAAACGCATCTGAAGTCGCATCGGTAAGTACCTAACTCTAAACTTAAAGGACATTCCTTTTTAATGTAGGAAGTGAATCTGGTAATTTTGTGTAGAAAATACTCCCGCCGTCGCGGTAGGTAGTGGCGGAAAGCGCTCCAATACACTCACACACACATAGGAAACAGCAAACTAATTTAAAACGAACTTTAACTTTAGTTAGTCAAAGAAAAATACCTATTTACACTACCAACTTTACGTATCCTTCAGTAGACTATCCAACATGATAAGCGAGCGATCCGCGTAGCTCGATGGGTGCCCGTGCCACAGTAAACGTATATTGCATTATTGCGAGCCATAGTACAGTTGATGTTGCACGGAAAATATTCGCTAAAAATTCCACTTTCGTTTGTAATTTATTTTTTGGTGGATAATGCGTTTATGTAAGTCATAATATATCACCTAAATAAATATGGCGAGTATTGAAATCAACACCCTGTATATATATGTATTACCTACAATTTAGAAGGCAAACCCAAAGGTTTGCTTTAGTAATAGTTTTACACATACACTATTTGCGTTTTCCATTTGCTTATGATAGCAAAGCTAGTAAATAGAGGCTGCATGTCTAGCATCCTTTTTTAAAGTCTGTGCATTCCGCAAAGTAAGTTGTTCGTTTTTGCGAGAAACGGCAAATGATGCTAGTTTACTGCTTGCTGGGCTCGACGTGTGCCAATAAGTACGGACGCGAACGCTCATCAGTACACATTCCCACTATTGACTCAATATCAAAGGCGAGAATAATATTCTCGTTATTTTCGAGACAGAATTTGAAGGGTTCCGTAGATGATAAAACGGAATTTTCTTAGAAATAAATATTGATAAATGTAGATAGTTAATATAGGTAGACTTGAATTTGAGCATAAAAAATCCCAAAAAACAAGTGATGGAGTGTCAATACATAAATTAGACAGAAATATGAAGATCTAATTAAATTAAACTTTTCGCATTAATCCTTAAGCTGCACGCTTAGAGCGTTTGGAAAAATACAAAAACTGTTCGCTATCGTAAAAAGAAGAGTAAAAAGTGAAATGTTGTATTGCAACTCCTGCAAGTCATCCTCAACCCTTTATGAGCTATAAGTCCGTACCTATACGGCTCAGATGTAGGCACATAATTGCGTGAATACTTCCTGAGTCTCTGGCATACTTGTTCTCTATCACCTCAAAGAGCGGGCCCTTATTTTACGTTAAATAACTGCCACATTTGCGACGCCTACCTTCAAACTTTTCCTTTCTTTCAGCACATAAAATTACACAAACAAGGCTCTCGTATAAATTGGAGTAAACTAGTTATCCAGTGAATAAAGGAATGCCAGTGGCCGCTACGTTCTCGCAAATAAAATTAACAATCACAATTAGGGTTCTCTCACTGTGGCGCTAACAACTTTTCTCTAAAGACCGTTTTATACTTATAAAGACACTTTCTATACAGGGAGACCTAGAATGAAATGCACTTTTGAAAGGAAAAAAATACTGTGTAATTTTGTAGAACTTTAAGTATTGCGATTTAATGCAAATTATTTTTACTTTCTTTTTATAAATTGATCGCATTCGATCAACATTGTCAAAATTTTGGAAAACTTTCATTAGAGTTACCTTGAAATGGATTCAGGGTGGATTAATGCTGCAGAGTTTTAATTATGACTGATTTAATTGTCACTCAAGAGTATACTAATTTGTCATAATTGATATTCAATCAATGACAGTTTAAAGTTAAAGTTAATATGAATCGATTTAACCATCGATTCATTAGAGAACCCAAAAACTTTGCAGGCAATAACCGTCCAGGATTACACTCAAAAATGTTAAGAATTGAAAGATTTTTGTCACCTTTTGCCATATTTAGCTCATAAAGACTGCAAAAACTTCACCTTTCACTGTACAATCTGTTTCATCAGTAGGGAATACAGTAAATAATTTAAATAAGTCCATCCCACGCACGAAATCGACAAGGTCTAACTGTAAGCTTTAATTGATTGGAAAACTTTCTCGGAACACCCCAGATTAAAATAATGAGTCTCTCGTATCTCCTCACGTAATCGTATACTTTAAGTCTCGAACTAAACTGTACAAATAGAGGAGGTACGATAAATTGTATTTACCTTACAAGGAGTATTCGCAAAACAAAGGAGCGCCAATACATTCACGGAAAAAATAAAGCGCATTGTTGGCCGTGGTTCTACAAAACACAACACGATTTTGGTTTGCTTTATCTAGTTTTTCTAAAGAAACTATTAAGCTCCTCTGCAATCTTTGAGCTACGGCTTTATCGAAACGATGTTAAGTCTAGCGACCTTCGGTAGTAACTTTGCGCAACAAGTGACGTCGTCTCCCAATAGATCTTGGAAATTTTCCGATGAAAGGCCAAGTCTTTCAGAAGTGACCCCTACGTGATAAGGTTTCAGACATATTCTACCATCAGTTTAACTAATGGCATATCCCTTCGACTGTAGGGATTGAAATCAAGGTTAGTTTTAATAAGGACAGCGGTTCATGGAACCCTTTGAGCGACTAACAGAATAGCTAAGTATCATTTCCCATTCACAATCATTATTTTAATTACTGCCCGACTGTGAATTTGAAATGGTCTGCAATAATTTATCATCTAATGATGCATGCGATTCCCAATTATTAAAGATTTTCCATTAGTCACAATTTTAAGGCATTTAGTAAATCAAGTAAAGCGAAAGATTTTCCATCATTTTTTGTTTAATAACTAAATACCTAATCAAAATACAAAAGCGAGACCTAACACATTATTTTACTCATTTACTTACAAATAAAATGCTAAAAGTGGAAAACCACTTGACCTATGAAGCTAAAAGGCGGGCAGGTAGTTTATAGATAGAAGACGTCAGCTAAGAAAGGGTTTGCGATAGGGCGGAATTAAGGGGGGGCAGGAGGGGTTGAGATTTGTATTAAAATCCGCCATTTTAAAGGTAAGGCACTTGAAGATTGATATCTTAAGTGAAAATAAAAATAAACTAGTTTAAATAAATCCCTACTCTCAGAGTAAAGGATTGAATTCACAGGAATTAAATTGCGGGCGTCCGCTAGTTTCTTACTAAGACGAGTTTCCTTAGAACTAAAAATTTCAATCCACTAAGATTGGATGTAATTTTATAAGATTTACTAGCTGACCCGGCGAACTTTGTTCCGCCTTAATGGCAATAAATAAGCAGACTTTTTTTTTAATTTCGAACGGGATAAAAAGTATCCTATGTCCTTCTCCTGGCTCTAAACTACCTCCCTGACAATTTTCAGCTAAATCGGTTCAGCCGTTCTTGAGTTATAAGTGGAGTAACTAACACGACTTTCTTTTATATACAGTGTGAGTCACGTTAAAGTGTACATATGAAAATAGATGAAACAAGACCTATTTTTATCGACAAAAAAGAGGTCAAAAAATTTTTGAGATTTTTTTTAAATTTTTTATCGAATTTTTTTTCTTCCAATTACTTATTGTAAAGAAAACGTAATAACTTTTAAACTAAGCGGTATATCCTGATAAAATAAAAACAGTAATAATGCCAAATAACAGGCGATACTAAAAAAATACATAAAATACACAAAAAATGCCAACAAATAATAAAAAATGATACTTTTTGAAAAAAATCTGCTTAAAAATTCGTGTTTTTTTGGTTATTTGATAAATTTCTCCAAAAAATGCCCCTATAACCGGTGGTTTTTATTACTTTGTATTATTCTCTATCGTATTACCTTCGTAAAACCAAAAATCGCATGTCTCTATCCCTATCACAACGTTTGCAATGATCGTTTGAACTAAGCCTCTCCGGGCGCGCCATTCAACGCTTCGTTAATAACAAAACTGAAAATGGCTCTAGATTTGTAATTTTGATAAAGACAAGTTAGATTTCAAATAAAAACAAAAGATTTCGAAGTAAAATAAGCATTTTAGTTAAAATTAAAATTGTCTCTACCTGTAGCGGATAATAATGTTGTGGCAGGCCTTTGTTCAAACGATCATAGCAAATGTTGTGATAGGAATAGAGACATGCGATTTTTGGTTTTACGAAGGTAATACGATAGAGAATAATACAAAATAATAAAAACCACCAGTTATAGGGGCATTTTTTGGAGAAATTTATCAAATAACCAAAAAAACACGAATTTAAAAGCAGATTTTTTTCAAAAAGTATCATTTTTTATTATTTGTTGGCATTTTTTGTGTATTTTATGTATTTTTTTAGTATCGCCTGTTATTTGGCATTATTACTGTTTTTATTTTATCAGGATATACCGCTTAGTTTAAAAGTTATTACGTTTTCTTTACAATAAGTAATTGGAAGAAAAAAAATTCGATAAAAAATTTAAAAAAAATCTCAAAAAAATTTTGACCTCTTTTTTGTCGATAAAAATAGGTCTAGTTTCATCTATTTTCATATGTACACTTTAACGTGACTCACACTGTATATAGATGCCTGGCAGCAATATTATTTTCTTATAAAAAGACGATGAAATGAGGAAAATTATTTAAAAATATACTGAATAGTGACGTACCTAAAGGTTCGTGCTTCAACCGCCGTGATCATTTGCGACATCACTCGCAGCTAAATGTGTCTCTCTTTAACCAAATTTACCAACAATTGCGAACTTTTACAGATTCACCGTGACTCACATTCACCGCAAAAAGATTGCGGGCAAAGTTAATTATGAAAATGCGTTGTATGAGCCCAAGTCGTGATGAAACAAACATTATGTACGTAATGCTTAATAATATACGAACTCAGGTTGCGGCGAGCTTGTTTAGATGAAAAATAATGTGATGTGATAAGCTCCACATAAAAGCTCCGTTAAGCTGCCGCTGACCACACTTACAGATCTTATTTATAACATCTCTATTTATAACGTAATCTTTCTTTGTCACTTGGATAAAGTATTGAAATAAAAATAGAGCAACAAGAGAGCTTATTTTTATATTTATAACATAAAACGGACCCACGTGTTTTTATTTATCACAATGCCTATTTTGAATATCTTTAAGAATGATATTCAATATAAAGGAATTCACGTAAAGTGCCTGTTGAATCGTGAATCAGTGAACATGTTAAAGCACGGTCCGGTCATGTAACTGTGATACAATAATAATAATACATTCACCCATTCTCACGAATTTTTTTCTTGGGTGAACC